TCGTGTCAGGCTTCATACAAACACTCAGTATTTTTAAACAATCGTGGATGGCCCGTCTAAAATTTCAAGACTACCGTAAACGCTCCCATAAATTAATAGAAAAAAAAAAAAAACGCTCAACATGTTTTTTTTGTTCGTTAATAAAACGCTCAGCGTATTAACATAGAGGATAGATATGATGAAAAGTGGTAGAATAGTAATTATATACCCATTGATGTTGTCTTTACCGCTTTCCGTCCAAATGTGGACGGATTGGAAATGGGTGGGGCTTAGGGATTTGCAGCCCCTTCCCCTTTAGCCAATCTATCATTTTCAGTTCGTTAATTTAAGTTGAGATGTGATGTTGTGTGAAAGTTTTTTATTGTAGTTAAAAAGTTAGATGTGATTATTTTTTAGAGCTTTTTACTGTAACAAAACTCGAATTTTAAATTTGAATCAGCGAAATGAACGGGACCATCTTTTCCTTCCTGCACTTTCCCTCTACTCCTTTTCTTCCTTACTCCAATTCCTCATACTAAATACATTTTTAGGTGCCGTTCATTTTACTAATTCAAATCTAGAATTTAAATTTTATTACAGTAAAAAATTTTCAAAAATAATCACATTTAATTTTTTTATTACAGTAAAAAATTTTCACATAAAATTACGTCTCAACTCAAATTAAAAATTTTAATTAACAAACTAAACGAAGCTTTACTTATTAAAAAGAGGACTTCCATTGTTAATATGGTAAGTAAACACATAAATCTCATTAATTAATATCTACTTTGGGAAGCTGTGATCTAGCGAAACTTTTTTTTTTCCCCTCTCTTTGGTGAGACTTGGGCTGAAGTGTGACCGTTGGTTGCTTTATGGTTTTTAGAGTGGGTTCTTTTTCCAGTGCCGAAAGAAAAGTTGCCTTTTCTCTCTGGTTCCCACAAGCTAGATTAAGAGCATGTTGAGAGAGTTTGTATTTTTATTTTTAATTAATAGAATAAAAAAGTATAAGTTAAATTTTTTAATTAATATTTAAATAACGTATGAAAAATGTTTTTTTTATTTTTAAAGTTTTGAATATATTTTGTAAATAAGTAAAAACCTCTTATTATTATAAAAAGTAATGTAAAATTAGAATATAGAAGTAAATTTTAATTTATTATTCACAAATAAAAAATTAAAAGTATAAATAAAAAAAACTTTTTATAAGTTTTTTTTTTTAAAAAGACACATAAGAGGCGATTTGTCTTAAAAGAGCTTATAAAAGCAAAAAAAAACACTTTAATGTTTCCATCTAATTAGACTTAGAAGTAACCTTTTGACTAAATAAGTGGAAAGCAACATTTTTATGAATTCTGCCTCCCACGTTTCGGTGAAACTTTTTTTTTTTTAAATTTTCCTCCACTTTTATTCTTTTTTCTTCCTTTCCTTTTTCCATTATTATATTTTTTACCGTAAGATTTTTTTTTTCCAAATTCACTCTTTAAATTTATTTTTCTCTCTAATTTCTTATTTAAATAATTTTTTCTCTCTAATTGTTATCTTTTTGTTCTATTATATTTTTTTTCTTTTTTCAAATGAGATCCTAATAAATATATTTTTCTCTATAATTCCTCTAATGAAATAATTTCTTCTCGCACCTATATCAGTCTTTTTTTTTTTTTTTTGGAAATCCTCTCCAGATGAAACATTTACCTTTTTTTTTAATAGAATCTCACGCACATGCGCGCGTTTAATATAAACTATTTTGATTGATTAATCTATTGCCAATTCTGATATTCTTGTGCTTGTACAGAATCCGATAACCTTAAAGAAAATACACAAGTAATGCAATACTAAGGATGTTTGTTTTTTCAAATACCCCAAGGATAGGATTCTGTTATATATAAAATTCTATTTAAATTTATTCTTAAATTTCATAAACGCGCACTATATTATACAAAAAAGAGTGCTAGAAACAAACTCTAATAGCACTTTTGCACTTATCTTAAGTTGTCATTTTTTATTATCTGTGAAACTTTTTATCAGTGATTATGGATAAAAAATTTTCTCTCATATTTCTAAAATTTCCACCAAAATTTCTGTAATTTTCATGTCCCGAAATATTTTTGGGTACAAAAGAACTTTCATGATATTTACACAAATTTAACAAAAATTTTGGAATAAATCTTTTTTTTTTATTCATAAACAATATCTTGAGACTTAGAAATTCTGAAATTTCAGTGATATTAGAGATAGTTAATAAAATTTTGGAAAAATTTAGGTAAATATGAGAATATATCGGCCAAAATATATTTTTTTAGAATCTTTAGCGTATTATTTTTGTATAAACTTATTTATTTATGTATTTTTTATATTTATCATATTCTAAAAAAGATAAAAACGTGTCAAAACAAATATTCTTAGTTTCGTCAAAACAAATATTCTTAGTTTCTTTTTTCTTTTTTTTTTGTTGCTATTTTCACGATATTTTCGTGATTAATTTCAATAATAACACTCATGAATAAATAATTATTAATTTTAACATCACTTTTGTATACTTTCATAATTAGCATCGTCATGTCAGTAAAAGTGAGACCAGACCAGTTTTATTTGAGTTAAAATGATAATTATGCCGCATTTCAGTTTTAAAACCTTGAATATATATATATATATATTATGAATGATTTTATAATTAAAATATTCAAAGTAGAGAGAAGAGGAGGAGAACGAACGCGGGTGTGCACAGAGACTAAGAAACCCCAACGACCACCACCGTCTACCACCTTAAGCACCGACGAACCCACGATAGCGAGAACATACACAATCACGCGACAAGAACTGACAAACCTTCACTGGAGAAATCAACGTCTAAACCTCTTCGTCGGAGAAGAACGAACTGAGGAAACCTCCCCCTTTTCGCCAGAGAAATCAGCCACGAAACAGACGGGGTCAATGGCTGATTTTGAGATAAAGGTGAAAACTTTGTTGGCTTTTCTTGTTTATTTATTTTTTTCCTTATGTATTTTTTTTCTTTTACCATTTTCTGTCATCTTAGAAGAAAAAAAGGCTTTGGAGGAGGAGATAAAAAGCAAATAAGGTAAGTTATTTAAAATTTTGGGGGTCATTGGATTCTCATTGTGCTCCTTATTTGATTTGTGACTCTGTCTAATGGCCGGTCATATCATTATAACCGTTTGGTAATTTTATTATGACCAGTCATAAGACAGTCACATCGTGCGATCATAGTAATTATGACCGTACATTAGGCAGGCAAGCGCATAGTGCAATTGTCTGACTGATGAGCCTGCGGTCATAGCATTATGACTCCCGATCATAGTAATGTGACCGCACAATTGTCAGGCTCAGGTGCGACTGCCTTGCGGTCATAGCATTATGACCCTCAGTCATAGTAATGTGACCGCATAATTGTCAGGCTCTTAGTGTGCCAATCATAGCACTTATGATCGTCGGTCATAGTACTATGACCAAACAATTGTCGGACTCTTAGTGTGCCAGTCATAGTATATTGGTTAACAACTTTCTTTGCTTTCTTGTTTTTTTTTTTTTGTTTTTATTATTTTATTTACCAATTTTTGTCATCTTAGAAGAAAAAAAAGACACAAATAGTTTGCTCGGCTTCATCACTATGACATGAAACGGATGCTGATTTCACCAGAATATGGTTACTTTCTCCTATCTCAGGTGGCAACGCTTCGGCCACTGACTCATTCACTATATCGACACATATTGGAAATTTATTCAGCGAGTGAACATCCCTTTTCTTCAATTGCAGGTGGAATGTGACATCATAGTCAGACGATATCTTCACAGGAGCTACCACATCTTCAACAACATAACTTAAGGATAAACTTTTTTCTTATGGCCGAATCCCAAGCACATTTCTCACCAAATCGATAAGACCAATATAAGTTGTGTTGGTGGAGACCAATATCCCCTTCATTTCACAACCGACATATCTCGAAGCACGGTCCCAATGTCCATTGTACTTGATGAAGACATTCAATCCAACAGTCATTCTTAAATAATTTCAAAAACAATAACTGTTAATCAATATGTAATTACTCTTAGTTGTCATCGAGTCATTAGAAATGACTAGTCATAACACTGTGTAATGGCCGATCATAAGGCAGTCATAGTGTGATAGTCATAACACTATAGGTCATTTCAGTTATAATATTATGACTGGACGTCATATCACTATGACTGCCTTATGGCCGGTCATAATACTATGACTAGACTATAACCTGTCATTTTGACTTATATTGTTATAATTTGACTCATAGACAATGACTCATACTATCATGACTGAATGGTCATAATATTATGACCGGACATATAATACTATGAGTCATAATACTATGACTCCCAAGGTCAACTATGTCTATGACGTGACGGTCGTTAGAATCAGTTTACATATAAATTATAAACCATCTAAAATCTCAAATTGATGAAGAATAATATCAATTTCTATCACATTAAGTTCAACCTAGTCATTTTTTCGAGTTCTATATACTAAGTGTCCTAAAAAATAAATTTAAAAAGAAAAATAAAAAAATTGTGTACCAACCTCGATCTGGTGCACAACCGGAGTATTGACGACGATGAAATGAGGGCGTCGGGAAGAGAGAGACCGAGTAGAGAGAGAGCCAAAAATGAGGTGTAGAGAGAGCCGAAAATGGGGTGTAGAGAGAGATAATAGGCGGGAGAAAGTTGAGAGTTTTTTTGAGGTGCTTTTAAATAATAATTTTGACGTAAGTGATATAAAAATTATTTTATCTCATACTGCTAATATGTTAATATTAATTGTGAAAATATATAAAAGTGATGTTAAAATTAATAATCATTTATTTAAAAGTGTTATTATTAAAATTAACCTCCGAGAAAAAGGTTACCGAAAAATCTCCACGGAATAAAGATACATTGACACGTGGCAGCGTTTTCATTGTCCGGAGAAAAAGCGCGAAATGTGCAACTACTTCTGTGCTAAGCTTCTAAACATTTGATTTTGATTGGCACTCAGAAAGAAAAAAAAAATCGAACTAACAAGAACCTCTCTTTCAAGTAGCGTCTTTCTTCTCCTCTTGCTCTGTTGTTTCAATCTTTAACGATGGGCCAAAATCTCGATTCAATGAATCAAGTTCAACCACGCTCCAAAGCCGAATTGCTCTACGATATCGTCCTCGCCACCGGCAATGTGGAAGCCATTAGAGCTCTGTTCCGAGAAGGTGCTAGCCTTGAGGTAATACTTCCTCTTTTATTGGATTTTGACGAATCTCGTTAGTTTCCGGAAGCCATAACTATTTGTTTGTTTGCTAGGTGTTCTTTCCGTAGGTTTGAATGGAAATTTTGAACTGAAATTTTCGCAAGAGAAAATACTGTAGCGAAAAAGATTGAATTGTGATTCAAACTTATGAAATGAACGAAGATTGGATTTCTCAAATTGGGAGACCAAAATTTGATTGAACTTGGGGTTTAATCCAATCATACGACGAGAAGTGAAACCCTAGCGTTTCTGTAGTTTGCTTTGTTGTCGCTTTGCAGTTTGTGGGTGCATTTCATTTTTTTTTAAAATTTTTTCTTTCTATTTTTGGTTGTTTGAGTTTGTGTTTTGAAACAGTGGATTGACAGAGAAGGAAAAAATGCCCTAATGGTGGCGTGCATGAACCGCAATTTGTTTGATGCTGCTAAAACTCTCATCGAATTGGGTGCCAATGTTAATGCTTATCGCCCTGGTAATTTCATCAAAAATTCAAAATTGTTTGTTGTATTGTAGATTTAAACATCGTACTTTACTTTTATTTTCAATTGGGTATTATTGCTCGGGAGTATATATGAACATTTTGATCACTGATTCTGGCAGGTTGTCATGCCGGCACTCCCTTGCATCACGCTGCAAGAGCAGGCCTGGTACTCACAGTTAATTTACTTCTCTCCAGTGGAGGTACGTCTTTTTAATTTGTTACACGCATTGATTTTGATTCCACATATTTTTCGGTATAAAGGGTAAATAAAACGTTAAGAATTAGACGCCCTATTCCTTTGCTACCGAGGTGATAAAACTAAAAGAAGCAAATAAGAACACAGAAGACTTATAGTGACTCACCATTAACACTTTCAGCCACCACAAAATTTCGTACTGATAAAGAAGAAGTTGCAAGAGCATCATACGCCTCACACCAACTCTGTGTTTTTTTCTTTAATCACTCTAGTCTCTAAGATTGGCAAATAAAATCCTATAGTGATTAACGTACATGCATTATGAATGAACTGTCTCCATATTAATGTTACAGCAAATGCTATAGTGCGGAATGATGATTGTCAAACTCCACTAGATGTTGCTAGACAGAACCGGCACGCCCATGTTGTTCGTGTAATTGAGGTATGCGCAAGAAATTGGAAGTAGCAATTCCTATGTTCTTTGTATATCGCTAGATTATTATGTGACCAATATTTTAACTTTGTTTTACTTTTCTTTATTGCTTTTAGCAACACATGTGCTATTTCTCTGGCTGGGTCCGGATGATATATGGTCCGGGCTTCCTTGAAGGACTAGCACCATATCTGTTGTCGAGAAAAATGTATGCATATTGCTTACTTTTTGTTAATGGATTGATCCCTCTTGATGTTCTTTTTTGTTTATCTCATCGTGTTTTGTTATGATGATCATTTCATATGTCCAGCTAATTAGAGTTCGTTGCTTGCAGTTGGGTTGTAGTCATTCCTCATGGTCCTAATAATCCTGCAAAGTCTAACTTGGAGCTTGCTGTATATTCTACCATAAAGGTATAAGGGATTTTAATTGGTGTACTTTTATTGCTATGAACTTTTTGTGTTTGGCTATGTCTTTCTGGTTCACTGTAGCATTCATATGATTTATACACGACGTCTTTTGGTTTTTAAGTTTCACATCCTTTTGTTAGTTGCTTGTATAGTCATTCTTGTTCTCTCGTCAATTGGCATATCAATTTCTTTTTTTTGGAGAAAATATTAAATAATGTACATGTAAGCACTAGTGTTACTCTTCATCTTGTTACTCTTTCTCCATGCAACACAAGATTCCACAGTTTGTCTTATATAACTACTTTGGCCTTTTTTTTTTTGGTGCATTACTTTGGACTTCTTTTGCCACTGTCATAGTTTTGTTGCACAATTTATGCAATGTTTTGCTTCCTTCTGATCCATGCTAGAAACATATTTTAGTAGAAAGTTATAAATTGAAATTTTACCTTGATGCCGTGGGCATAACTTATTAAATTGTTACGCAAAATCCAGTACTCTTGTTGCAGCGTACCTTAATGATCAGAGCATCTAGATACATACATACATAATGTAACTCATCGGTTTTTTTTTTTCTTTTACATAAACTCATCCTACATACCTACATAATGTAACTCATCCTTTATTGTTTCGTACATAAACTCATCCTTTATCCTTTTCTACATTTCAATCTGTATAACTGCTGATTTATAAACAGGATGCCCGGCCTCGTTCGGTTGTTTCTCTCCGGAGGGCCCAGATTGAGGAACCTGATCTTTCTCAATCAGATCCGAAATTGACAGTTTTTGATGATTCTAGCAGTAATTTTCCACTGTTCAAACTATTATCTATGTATTTCTTTCGAGAGTTACTTTGCGTTCAGGTGTTGGACTCCACTAACTGGTTTCTTTTGTTAACTTATTCAAATGAACCTAGGTGTTGGGTCTGGTAGGTACTTAACAAATTTTTCATTGGAATCTCTTGGTTATGTGAGTTGAAATCATCGATTGTACTTTGAATTCGAAATGTATTTATATAGGTAAAATCATGCTATATGCAACAGCTTTTATGTTAAATCGTGGGGTCTAATATTTGCCTTGACGATTTTTTGCTTTACACAGAGGATTCCGCGGATCAACCTTCACGGTAAGGTCGCCGTGGGGGTTAGAAGGTGCCCCCCTTGCTGGGGGTGCAGGGGCAAAGCCGCACCAAAATTTTATTAAGGGTAGTTTGGGAATTTCACACTTGTAGAATTCGGTTGTCCTAGTGGGCGCCGTTTTTGGGAGATTAGAGGTAGAGAAAAACATAGAGAGTTGAGTAACTTCATCTTTATCATAGTGGAAAAATTGCATCGGCTGAAAAATGACGTAGTCTCACATTGAGGCGAACCTCAATAAATTTTGTGTCAATTTTGCTTGATTTATTTTTCCACGTTTTATTGCTCTCAGTTATGTAGAATTAGGGTGTCCAATTCTTAACACTTTGTTTACTTTTGTCATATGCTAGTTTTCTGCAAACTTGTCAATTCATTTCTTGATGAGCCACTTCTTTCTACTAATCATATAATTTGCTATCAGAATCTCGGCTTAAACTTGCATCTGCTATTTTGGGTGATAAAAAGCAACTTCTCTCGTTATACGAGGCATGCCGAGGAGTTGTTCAGGTATCATCAAACACCGATGTAGGTTGTTTTTGTCTTTTTCTTTTCTACTTGAATTTTTCAGATACAAGTTTGAAGTTATAATGTACTAGTAACTACTTTTGAATTTGGCAAAGTTGGCCTGTTTGTAGCTTAGAAATTGTCTTGATGTGTGACAATGAATTGTGAGGATAGTATGTCTGAGCCACTGGTCTAAGCACTACAAGTAATGTATACATAGTGCCTGGATAATGTGGGTTTTTTTGAGAGAAAAGAAAAGGACTATGTAGCTAATTAAGCTTTAAAAAGTTTAATCTGAGGAATCTCTAAAATAGATTGTTTTCAAAGTATCACTTCTGGAAGATTTTAACTACAGGATGCTTTACTTACATGTCAGCACTAGCTAAATAAATTCAAACTAATTTTTCATACTTGATTTTCAGCAAGTAGTTCAATTTTCAATAACTTCACATATTGCAATAACTGAAGCATAGTCTATTCACCTTGAATTCATTTTGTAATTAATTTCTAAATGCAAAATATCTCCATTCTTCTTTAATTTGTTTAGCTCCTTGGGAACGAAAAGGTGGAAAACTAATGCATTGCAGTTATTTGCATAGCATGTAAGGATTTTAATTCTGTGAAAATTGTATCTTGTGCTTGGCTGTTGTATGTATTTAGAAGGATAGGCATTCATATTAAACAGTGATGCCATGTGGTTTTTGCCTAGTGTAACCAATTTGTTTTTTCTTCTTTTTGTTCAGGTTATACCTTCCCCAATTCATCATAACACACAAACCTCTATAGGAGGTGCAGAATTGGGAATGGCGTCAAGTGACCCCATTCAGCCTGCTTCTGCATATGCATTTCGGGCTCCTAATTCTTATCCGATACCTGAAGCATCCAACACAAATGGGTGGGGAACCTCTGCGAATGATGACAGTTATAATGGGTGGGGGTCAGCTGTTGGAACTACACATTCTGAGAAGAACAACACCGGATGGATGAATGGACAAGTTAAGGAAGACCACAATGGCTGGAGTGAGCTTGGTCATGAACCTCAGCCACTTGGAAAGCAAACTAAACATTCCCAAACCTGTGCTGAAAGCACCTCAAGTGTCTCCAAAAACAATGACGCTTCCGTATCAGTTTCATCAGCTGCATCTGCTCCTCTTATTCCAGAGAAGATTTCAGCTGAAGGGCCTATCCACTATCCATCACTTAATCTAGATGAGGACTCTTCCTCACAACCCACGGACGATGAGGCGTCTGCATCAAATTGTAAGAAAGCTGGAGGTCATTCTTCCTCATGTGTGGTCTGCTGGGAAGCTCCAAAAGAAGGTGCGTGCATTCCCTGTGGTCATATGGCTTGTTGCATGTCTTGTTTGATCGAGATCAAAGCCAAGAAAGGCGTTTGTCCTGTATGCCGGTCCAAGATGAAGAGGGTGGTAAGGATCTATGCTGTATAATTAGTAAACTGGATATGACAATTTACCATTGTGTCAAGATTTCGATTCATTGGCTTGTGATATACACTAACTGCTGTCATAAGGTTCAGAAACAACAAAAGGCCACTGTTCTGATTGTACGGAACATCAACGGCAGTGGCTATTTATAATCCATTAACTGAGTTTTGCTTAATCCCTACACTGCTTAGGATCCTTCTGTCAGCTTTCATAACATGCTTTTCGCATGATTCTTGTTCATGTACTTTGTAAGTGACATTGGACAACCGAACTTCTCTATGGAAAAGAATCAAAGACACCAACAAGCCCAAGTTTTCCTTTTTTTCGACACTTAACATGTACTAATAAGGTTTATTGTTGAACAAAAAGGTGCAGTTCCTCTAGAGGTTAGATCTCAACATATGAAGATGATGATGGGTATCTAACATACAGGGCATGTGCAAATATTGTTTAGTTGAATATTTGCAATTACTGTATTCTTGTGACATGATTACACACCTCAACAACAAAAAAAAAAAAAAAAAAAAAAAAAAAAAAAAAAAAAAAAACGGAACATGGTGACTATTGCCAAAGGATTCTTTGGGCACGAGTTAACCTACCCATTAGCAGGACCAACAATTCCATATTCAATGTACCCCACCACATACATTTATTAGACACCAGATGGGGAAACCTGCACATGGCTTGCTTGCTTTAGATTCTGATTTTTAAAAGATAGGACTTCCTAGAACTTGTTTTAGTCTTGCTATATATGCCACAGTGAATTGGTGGAATGTAAGGAAAAACCAGTGTATCTGATTTAATTCTTCTATTTTTTTTATTATTATTTTTTGAAAATTTATATAGGCCCTTTATATCTTCTCAAATCCCCAATGGGTGGGGAACAAACTTTTTCTTGCTCTGTTATTTAAAACGGGCAAACATGGCGTGTACGGCAAATTTAGTCGTGAATTAAGAAATGTATGGGATCCATGTAACGGTAATTGTTTACTGATGGGATTGGGTCAACTGAAGTCAAGATTATGTTATTGTGAAAGGTTTTCTGTTGAGAGTGGAGCTTTTCTCTTTTCTCTTTTCTCTTTTCTTCTTTTGTTTTTTTTTTTTTGGACTGTACAAAAGAGTTAAATCTTTTTTGAAATGAGTAGGCCACTAATAGTGTTAAGTACCGTCTACAAATACAAAATGGACTCTGCTGTATAATGTTCACGTAAAGACTATTTTTTTATTAGCGATGGTGCTTACACTTATAAAGTATGTTTATTTGCATAATTTAAGTCATGATTTGAGTTGTGTACGTGAGAAAAAAATATTGTAATAAAAAAATTAAATTTGAATTTTTATGAGACATTGAAATTAACAAGTGTCCCTAAGCTCAAATGCCCATCTTCTTTTGAAATCATCCCCGGGCATAGGTTTGTACTAGTGAATATTGACTCTTCGTGAACTCATTGGATGGTCTTATTACCAAACTTAAGAATGACGATAAAAATGTAAACACTCATTTGAAAGGTCTTGATAACGTCAACTAGTTCATGAATTTCGGATTAAGTCTTAATTATTTTTTATTTTATTTTTTATTTTTTGTGGCTAGAAATTGGTTAGCTTGAGTTTGTCCCCATCTGTTCTCTGCCTCCGGGGGTACCACAATTCAATTGCAAAATGGTGCTGCCAGCTGCCACATTTTTTATTTTGGCTTGATCATGAAAGTGATTAGCGAAGAGAAAAATAAACTAAAAAATTTAGAAAATTGTTCAATTTGGGTGGAAAAGAAGATAGAAATGCAAGGAAACTTAATAGATTGATCTTCAGTTGCTTATGTTTTCTTATTAATGAATGATGAAGACGCCTCTCTGGAAAAGCATGATCAGTGCTTAGATAATTCGAAAAGACAGGTTTTAACTTAGTCAGATTACGGATATTTTGTTGTCTAATGGAAGCAATAATCTCTTGTTGAATTTAAAATATTAGGTAAGATGGAGTATGTAGTTGTTTATACCACATATAGAGGGCGATATTAATGCTTTAATACATAGTGGGACCTCTTGTCAACATACTGTGGGGTCACTGACTAAACTTGCTGTTCATGGGACGATTTAGAGGCTAAAACACATTTAAGGCTCATAAGATAGGTTAGTTGCTTCAGTAGACGTTTGATTCATAAATTCAGAATTATGATTCAAAATTATTCTTGTTTACGTGTGTTTTTTATAAGAAAAAAATACTATAAAAAGCTATTAATCATGATTCAGAATTATAGACGAATACAATAAACAAACGTCCTCTTAGAGACTGGAAATCTTTTGCCTTAAATATGACTCGAGGCTTAAGCGTATTGTATGCCCTAACTATTTATGTTTGAGATCCTCTAAAAAAGTTTTCACAAACTCTCTTAAATAAGGAGGATTAATTCTTTGGTAGTGGTTTATAATTTTAAACCTATCATATACAGTAGGATACTTTTTTCTCACACTTCCATTAAAGTCTCTAAAATAATCAATTTCTTAAACTCGACGTCAAAATAAAACGACACCAAATAGAGAAACTACGGATTAGTTAACGTGTAATAATAAGTGTGGATTAAATTGGATGGAAATGTTTAAAGTTAAAAAGTACGAATTGTATGAATGTCCTAGGGAAGTGGAAAGTATTAAAAGCAAGAACAAAGGCCCTTCACGTCTCAACAACAAAAGTATGTCTTACTGAGATTTGGAATTCTTTTGAAAGGAGATGGAAACGAAGAGAATAAGGACTCGTTTGGTTCGTTAATTTGAGTTGAGATGTGATGTTGT